CCTCCACCGGATCCATGCGGTGTCATGACTGGTCCAGCCAAGAAGGCCAAACCGAGCCTGCTTGCGTTGACTCCCAAGACAGGTGTTTCTGACCCCCCACAGAACACATGTGGTGCTACGGCGAGCCTGCTTGGATTGACTACCAAGGCAGGTGTTTCTCACCCCTCACAGAACACATGTGGTGCTCCAGGGAATGATGACACAGCGAGCCTGCTTCCACCGACTCCCAAGACAGGACAGTTTGGTAGCGGTGTGTCCGCAGGTAAGTAAACGATAGGCGAGTAAAGATGAGTAATGAGCAAAGCGGTGCGTCCGCTGGTGCAAGATATTGAATAGTTAAGTAAAAGGTTTGCGTTCGGATACAGAAGACAACAAATAGTTATATGATATATGTGTCAAGCGGCGTGCCCGCTGAATGTTCGAGTGACCTGCTTGTTCCAGGACCTGGTGTCGTTCCACCAAAAACGAGTTCTATTGCAAGACCGTCGCCAAAGGCCGCAGACGCAAAGGCCACAGCGCCGTGGAGAACGCTCAGGGAGTCGATGAAAGCGCCAACTGGTGGAGCTGGTGTTAGGCCTACCCAAGCAGCTGATGGAGCTCCTGCCATGGCTACACCGCCATGGAGACCAACCCCAGCAGCTGATGGAGCTGCCAAAGCGCCGACGCAAACAGGTGCACTTCGTGAGTATACGGGGGCACTGCAGTTTTTTCCAGCAGGGTTGGCCACTCGTGGAAAAGCTGCTGCTGGTCCTCCACCAAAGCAACCTCCTGCTCGATCAGCTGACGCAAGCACTGGTGCTTTCGACTACATTCCCGGAGAGTCTTCCAGGCAAAGGCAATGGCGCCTGTTTGGCGTTTGGAGGACGAGGGGTGGACAAAACCGAGACTATTACGCAGAGGTTTGGTCCAACATCCATGCAGAGTATTGGTCCAACACCAATGCAGAGCACCAGGCAGACAATCAACAGTGACGGAGTTGAAAAAAAGGGCAGTGCGCAGGGCAAAGGCCACGATATGTTTGGTTGAAGCGGTGTGTCCGCTAGTGAGGGTTTTGTGTCCTTTGATAAGGGTTTCATGAGCGGTATGTCCGCTGAAACGGGGTAGCAGTCGTGTCGTGTTATTCTTTATCGGTCTAACGCGCTAGGCGCCTGCTGCTCAAGACGAGTCAGCAAGCCTGGGGTACCCTTCAGTCATGGGTGAGCGTAGAAAGCAGCAGAACTACCAGGCGCTGCCTCACCTTCTGACTGAAGAAGTATGGGATTGCCTGATGTCCGCACCTCGACACAAGGCAAGGTCTGTGCTCTTTTGTCACGCGTGGAAACTGGGTCTTCGATGCCCTTCAGAGGGCACTTTCAACACGATGTTCCATTTGGTGGCACTTTGCTCCAAAGAGCAACGACAAATGACTATGTTCGAGAGGTACACCACCATGAATGAGATGAAGAAGGAATGGAAGTCGTTCAAGAGCCTTCGGAAAGGTGATGATTTGCAGTACCAGGAGTACATCGACATTTTGTCTTCAGATCCGCAGGATTTGCCGGGGGAGTACTACCTGGATGCATTTTCATCATCCAACCCTACTCCATGCAGTTCCTATAGCTGTACTTATCTGAGAAGGTTTTCTCTTTGTTCTGTGTGTGTTTGGTTTGCGATAGTCC